CGCACAAAACACGCTGCGAATGGCCCGGTTGTGAGTGGGAAGGGAAACACATTACGGCCCACAAACTGCAACACACGGGTGAGAAGCCGTTTGTGTGCGAGTGGCCCGACTGTGGCCGCAGGTTTCGGATGCAGAAGCTGTTGAAAGAGCACCAGAATGTGCACAACAATCTCAAACCCTACGCCTGTCATTGGCCCGGCTGTCAGTACAGGGCGGCCAACAGCGCCAATGTTAACAAACATATGAAACAATCGCATAATAAAAATAGTTTCTCATGAAATGTGATTAATTGTATTTTTCCCGACCGTTATATTCAATATCATCGGCCGATTAAATGACCATAAATTTTGGTATAAATAGTCTGAGTTTACACTTTTAATATCTACAGTATATTTAAAAGTTTTACAATTTTGTTTATTTTAAAAAATTAATTATTTGCTATTTATTTGAATTTCACTGAATTTTTATTATGAATTTATTTATAAATTAATGACAAATTAATTAAAAATACATTTAAAATATAATATATAAATCATTTTTTCTTGTTTACGGCGAAGAGTTTCTTTGGGATGTCTTTAGTTTGAAGGCCTCGAACGGAGAACAATCGGTTGGCCCTCTCGGCCAGACTTCCGCCGCATTTTAGCCCCAACGCCGTCAACGAGTACTTCAGTCGATCCAAACCCAGCGCTTCCAATTGGTCCACACTTTCGTAGGCCATCAGATCCAACGGCTCGTAAACTACTTCTGGCTCTTTTGGAGCCTTAGGTTCGTTGGAATCGTTAACAACTCTCTGTTCAGTCTCTGACACCACTTCTGATGACACCTTCTCATCAGTATTGGGCTTATCATCACTTTTATCGTCATTTAATTGATTCAAATCAGTCGAACACTCGACAACACTTTGTTTCGCTTCATCGGAACCACTGGACAACTCACTCGACTCTTCGACTTCGGCCGCAGAGGACGCGGCACTACTCGACGTGACAGTCGATGGTTTAGAACTATCGCCGTAAACAACGGGTCCGTCGCTTTCGGGCTCCTCATCACTGTCTTCAACATCAATGCCGTCGACTCCCATCCAAAGCGAGAGCTTCTTCTTCTTCTTCGTGGCCGCCAGCTTATGATCGGATTTGCGTTTTTGTGCCACCGATTGCTCACCACTACTACCGGCCGCCGAACTACAGGTACTTTGCTTTTGGCGCAATTGAAGTCCATATTGAAGCGCTTCGTCCACAATATCGGGTATTTCGGCTCTTTGTCTCTCGAAGTCAATATCATTGAACTCCGCCTTTGGTTTCTCGGCCCTCTTCTTCAGCTTCTGGATGCGCCGCTCGTCCATCTCCTTCTTCCTGAGCGCCTCCTTTTTGATCCACTCTTTAATACGTTTCTCTTCGTTGATATCTCGCAGTCGACGACCCGTGAGGTCACGACACGCCTCCCTATTCGTGGTCTTCTCGATCTGAGCGCCGATAGCCCTCAACATCGACCCGAAGCCTCCCTTTCCGCCCCTCAGGCCTCCCATCGAGAGCCACACCACTGAGCCGTCCGTCAAGACATCGCTCGCTGACAACGGTTTGTCATTTGAGTATAATTTGAAGTCGTTTTCGGGAATCGCCTGAAGAGTGGACACGAGTTTAGTATTTAATGATAACAAAAATGCGGTTGTACCAGTTAATCAGGTTACCACACATTTTACCTTGCTATCTTATACGCCACATCGTATACTATATCTATATAAAATTTGGCCGAATTTCACCGCGCAACTTTCGAGATATTCGACTTTTTTTCAAAAAAAATTTACATTAGGTCTATGGGGGAAAAGTGTGCCAGAGCCAAACTTTTCGTACAACAAATATGTTGTAGAAAAAGTTCGGCTCTGGCACACTTTTTCCCCATAGACCTAATGTAAATTTTTTTTGAAAACAAAGTCGAATATCTCGAAAGTCCCGCGGTGAAATTCGGCCAAATTTTATATAGATATAGTATACGATGTGGCGTATAAGATAGCAAGGTAAAATGTGTGGTAACCTGATTAACTGGTACAACCCAAAAATGCGAGCATTGAATCCATACCTCAAGAAGTGATATCCGTTGCGATAACTCGCGGCCACTCTTCTCGTGTCCATCCAATTGAACGCATCGTGTTTTGAAGCCATTGAGCGGCGATTTGTAGAAGATATTGGCCGAAGACATGGTGTGGTCTAATCGTGTGAACAACACGTGGTTTTTGTGGCAAAAAATACCGTCAAATAAATGGTTGTAATTAAAAGTTAGCTTAAATTGTGTCAAAACAATAACACAAAACGTAACTCTAATTTCAATGGCGTTTAACGTGAGTCTCAGTCCCACAGCCGGTGGCGACCCCTATCTGTGTGTTCACACCATTAAACATCAAGTTTGAAAGTTTCACAAACTATTCAATTACATCTAGGTACATTATGCATATTGTATTTAGTTTGTCCATGTTAATTTGAGTAAACATTTAATTAAAATTACTTTTTTAAATTCTTTATTTATATTTTTTAATAACATATAAGAAATTGTTATAACTTTTTATCAATATAAATGCAATGTAAAATACATGTTATATGAAGATAACTTTATTGAGTATCATGTTGTTTGAGATGTGAGACCGGCGGGTGTGATGTCTTCAACAGTGATCATGGTAATTTGATAGCATGTGGTCATATGGTTTAGATGTACAGTATATTAATCAATCAATTAACCATCAAATGAGGTATTGGTTAAGCCTTGAGGTCGAGAATTTCGGCGATAAGTTGTCCGCAGGAGCCGAGACCACGATCGGTGACATTACCCCGTTGTTTGTGGCCCAATGTGTTGGCAAAGGTAACCGTATTCATGAGTTTCATGTATTTCCTATCGCTTTCCGTCCGATATCTGTGCCTTAAATAGCGGTGAAGTAAACGCATATACAGTTGCTGTTGAAACCTATCACCCAATGAGTTATACACAGAATATAATTAATTAATCAATATTAATGTTAACTTAATTGATAACTCACTTCACAACTTCCCTGTGTATGAGGTTTGGACAGTTGGGGTTGAATAGCGATATAACCATCAACTATAGTGTGGGCCACAAAAAAATCACATTTAAATTACATACTATGAATATTGATTACTACTATATTTATTTTGTATGTCTATTTAAATGGCAATTAATTACATACCGTTTCGAGTATAATGGGGTCTGAATCCCATTCCGGGCCAATAAATCGCAAATACTCGTTGAGTTCTGAATAGAGGCCTCGTTTTGTGTGTTTAATTAAGTCTATTTTGAACACTATTGAAGTGCTCTCGTCCTAAATAGTGGTGAAACAAGTGTTACATTCAATTAATAAAATTATTTTTCAACGAAATATGAAAATCCAATAAAAATTGAATGAAAATTATTTTCCTTACGGCAAACATCTTGAAGTCGTTGGACTGGAAGTCAAATATAGTGATCGTTCGCAACAAAATCACTTCAAAGCACCGGTACTTCAGTAGCGATATCTTGTCCTCTTCGCAGATGCCGTGAAACGCGTTCAACTGTTTGCACATTTTGATCAAATTGCGGATCTCGTACTCAAACTTGGAAGTGGTCGCTGTCTTCAGCTCCTCGAAGTCAGTGATCTCTTTGACGGTGTCTAATGACGGGTGTCTGAGCACAACTGTGGCCTCGTATAGCTCTTTCAGTATATTCACCTCCGAGTCGTTCATCTCGTTTACGGCTATCTGTCGGGCGATGAGAGGCAGCGAACGGTCGTATTCTTCGGTGTTCTTGTGGTAATTGTTGATAATGTGGTGATTGTGGCCAAAATCGATGCCATCGGAGCTGTTGTATAGCTTTTGGTCTAATGAAAACAGTTGCAAATCTAAGTCTTCGGGTATTTTGTCACCACTGATGGCTGTTGTGGTGGTTGTGTGGGAACTGTTAGTATCAGTTCCGTCGCCCGGAGACGAAGACTGGCTGTCAGTACTTAAAGGCACTTCCAGTTCACTGATTATTGAATTACGCAAAGTATCGGACGTTTTGCTTAATAAGAGTAATGTATTGATTATGGATTTGTTTTTATATTTCTCTCTCAATTTTCTATTCACTTCGATCTTCATTTTTCTGGTCTGTTTTTGGTGTTCATCGAAGATATTATCCTAA